CTTAATTGATTTGAGTCAGAATTGAGTTTTGTTTTGTTGATTTGGGGTAGATTCTCCTGGAAAAGCAGAGGGAAAAAATCAGTATGAGTTTTGTTTTGTTGGTTTATGGGTGGATTCCCCTGGAAAAGCAAAGGGAACAAATAAAGTGAGTTTTGTTGATTTGGGGGTGAATTCTCTTGGAAAAGCAAAGGGAAGAAATTCAATTGAGTGTTGTTGTATTAGTTTTGGGATGGATTCTCCTGCAAAAGCAAAGGGAAGAAATTAAAATGAGTTTTGTTTTGTTGGTTTGGGGATGGATTCTTCTGGAAAAGGAAAGGGAAGAAATTAAAGGGAATTTTGTTGTGTTGGTTTGGGGGTAGATTCCCCTGGAAAAGCAAAGGGATAAATAAAGTGAGTTTTGTTGTTTTGGTTTAGTGTTTTGAGAGCTGGGGTCAAACACCCAAATTTATTTCAAATTCCCCTCTTAGAGCTGGTGAGCAATAGCTTGTGTCCCTAAGCCAGCTGAAAGGGGGAAAATACATTGATTTTTTTATTATTATTATTATTTTTTGAACTGTTCATTGCTGCTCTCACCACACCTTCCCTTCAAGTTTAATCTCAGAATATGAAACCACAAACTCCCCTTGTTCCTCACTTTGACTGAGTGAAATATTTAAAATAATTGCTTTGTAATAAAATAATGGTTTTAATAATAAAAATAATTGCTTTAATTTCTTTTTTTTCCTTTTCCAGCTTGAAGAAGTCCTCTGCAGAGCTGAAGAAGATCCTTGCCAATGGCCAGGTGGGTGCTTTGGCTGGGGCTCCTGCAGCTGAAATGGGATTTTTTGAACCCAAAACTGGAGCGTTCAGGGCCCTGGTTTGCTTTTATTGGCACAGAAATTTGTGCCAGTAAATTCTCAAAATCAGCTTTAGCTCAAATGGATGGAGGCCCTTCAATCAGTGTTGGGTAACTGGAGGGAGCTGCTCATGGTCAGCCTCAATCAGAAATGGAAATGGGATTAAATACCTGGATTTTGGTCTGGAATAGTTAATTTTTTATTTA